CTGATGTGCTGTCTGTTTCCCATGTGATATTGAGCACAGATAAGTTATAACCCATTTATAATACTTCTATTACATCACTTTTGGAATGGAATAAGATTCTAAGTAGTTTCCAAACACATGTCCTCATCTACAGCACATTTCCCTTTTTAATGAACCCAGAAAAGTTGGAATAAACATCCATTGAGTTTAATTGTATCAATAGTTGAGCAACTGTTACGCATGTATCTGTTTACAGTGACCATATTTATTATAACAATAGGCAGTTTTTAATTCCCATGTAAGGTATTTTGACATTCTAGTTCTATCACAGGGTTAGGCTCAGTGTACAGATTGTGTCACTTGCACCACCTTCTTTAACTATTTTATTTGTATTACTTCTTGCACTATTTTTATTTGTTTTTACGTCTTAGGTATAATGTACAGTATGTTGCACAGCCTGGGACCTTAGATTCTCACAAGCAAAACTACATTTAGCTATTGTGAATATAACGGTAAAGTCTTTAAATATTTTAAAGTATTGCTCAAATGAAAATGTACTGGGGAGAGGCTTATAAAAAAGCATCTCAATCCCTCGTAAACACACAATATTCTAAAGGCAAGGAATGCATATCACTAATATCGCTTTTGACCAAAAAATAGCAGCAAAGTGACACAAGGCCAAGGACCTCGGTGACGTTAGTAACAGCTCACCCTATTTAATTGGTGCTTTAGATTCTTTGTAAATGATGCAGTATGTAATGCTGGCAAGTGGGATCTAGTGAGGGAGCATTTCATTACAAAAACATCTTCCCTCGTGGAATTTTAACCGGATAATAGACGTTTTTTGCGAAAAAAAACATATGTCTGAATGGCCTCTTTAGGCCATGACGTAAATAAATGTCCCAGCCATCATTTGACACTGTAAGGTAATTAAGGGGGGGTCGAGGAAGATGAAAATGAGGAAAGAGGCTGAGGTGACCCAGCAGTATCAAGTATTTACTACAAAAGAGAGTCGGGGGGAGACGACACGTGACGGCCCTGTGTCTGCAGACAGGATATCCTGAAGGAGCGGCTTTATGACAGGGAAAACCCTGGTCATGTTTTATTAGCCATCTCAGTGACACACACACACACACACACACACACACACACACACACACACACACACACACACACACACACACACACACACACACACACACACACACACACACACACACACACACACACACACACACACACACACACACACACACACACACACACACACACACACACACACACACACACACACACACACACACACACACACACACACACACACACACACACACACACACACACACACACACACACACACACACACACACACACACACACACACACACACACACACACACACACACACACACACACACACACACACACACACACACACACACACACACACACACACACACACACACACACACCAGGAATGAGTCCTTAAACCAGAAATGAGTCAGCATACAGTATGTACCACTTCCGGTTCCTTCATCTTGAGAACGAGTTTAAGAGATTTTCAAGTTTTGTTCTACAACATAAAATAAGTGAGAGAATACCACATTATTGAATGCCCGGAGCTTCTATGTGTCACAGAGGTTACTAATTAGTAACTAAATGAGACTACTAAACATCATCACGAACATTAGCCGACTTTAGCTTAGCGGTGGACACACTGCCATGCAACCGTAATGTAGCTTGTTTATAGCCTAACATTAGCTTTTCACTACTGGTGATTACATTAACGCAGCGTTTCTCAAAGTGTGGGGCGCGCCCCACTGGTGGGGCGCAGAGATGTGATAGCTGGGTCGCGAATGGACGCGATGAACGGGAGATTATTATTTTATTTTTTTAAATACATTTTTTGGACCTCAGGCCGGAATCGAACCTGGGTCCTCGTGGGCGGTAGTGGACTGTTACAGCCGGAGACTCGCAACGGCGGTGGACTTTCACAGCGCCGGAGCCACCGGAGCCTCGCAACGGCGGGTGTTTGCGGCGGCGGATGTGGTACCGGCGCTGTGAAAGTCCACACCCCACCTATGCCAGAGCCAGCGGCCCACCGAAGGCAGCAGCCCACCAACGGCAGCGGCCCACCGGGAAAAGTCCCAAATCTCCCGATGGCCAATCCGAGCCTGCTCACACACACACAACTGAAACCAAAATAATTTACAGACACATGTAAAAATCTTTCATACACACACACAACAGCGTTGCAGTCGGGAAGAAAAGCAATGTGGAGCGGCACCTCACCACTTCATAAGGAGTTTAACCGTGACACTTTTCGAAATCCCGTTTGTGTCCCGCCACTTTAAAAATAGGCCTATGTTTATTTTATTTTTTTAACGCAAGCCGTCATCGCCACGGAGGAGCACACAGCCTCTGTGAGCGAGCGAGACAGAGAGAGAGAGAGCTAGAGAGAGCACACCTTTAACTATTTAATATAGCCTAGTTGTAAAAAATAAAGTAAGAAATCATTCCGATGTGTACTATAGGACAGTAAAAAAAAAAAAACAGTTTAAAAGGGGAGTGATTAGTCAAATATGCATAAATAAAAAGAAAGAATGCTAACTAGGTAACATAAGATAAGAATAAACAAGTTTAAATGATTTGTTATTGGTTGTGATCATATTCTAAAGATGTTTGGAGTATTGAAAAGTATACAGCTCCCTTTCATCTGAGTGTTGAGAGCTGTATCCATCAATTCATGTTGTGCTCAAAGTGCACCAGATTGATGCATTTCACTTCAACATTTAAAAAAACATCTTCCGGGGGAGCATGCCCCCGACCCCCCTAGAGGAGATGAGGTCCACCCCCAAATAAAGCAGGTTCAAATAATTAAATTGAATACATTTTATTTTAGTAAACACTGAAAACGGGTCCCACAGACCCAAACAGCACACAAAGGTTAAAGGTCAGCATATTATAATGTTAAAATGTGCTAAATATATACACTGCAAAAAAAAAAAAAAAAAGAATAAAAGTAACTCACGACTTGTTTTATTTTTTGAAAGTAGCTCTCATCCTAAAAAAGGTTGGAGACCCCTGATATAGAACAATACATTTGATCATTTTAAACTTGGCCTACCATTTTATTGGAGCGATGAGGAACAGGTGGGGCTTGAAAAGGCCCACCTGTTCAAAGTGGGGAATGACAGAAAAAGTTTGAGAACCACTGCATTAACGCTTCAGAAATCATAAAGTGGTGTTCATGTGTGGAGATTATCCTGCTGAACAAAACGTGTAAGTACCATAAATGTGTGTTTGCCACAGAGATTATTTTTCTGCTATATTCCAAAATCCAATGCTTTTAGTGGAGGCAGCCCTTGCAATGCTAACTTCTGGGTCGGCCTACAGAGATTTGTCATCACTGCACCATTTTATGTCGCTTTGGAATAATGCATGTATGCAGTTGCCTTTTCAACATTGGGGTCAGAACTCCAACATGGCCGCTAGATGGTTATTGAATTAAAAAATAATTGTCATTTAAAAATAAAAATCTGCTGCACAAAAAGTATTTTTTACAGTTTTAATTAACCATTGAAAATATCCTAACCCATTGCAATATATATAGTATATAGATAAACTGTGTGTATAGCAGAAATGTTAAATGAAAACATAGTCTTAATGTGCAGCCCTGACTCTATGCATAGGATTATACACAGTGTCATAGAACAAATCTACGCTAATAATCAATCAGTCAATAATGAGTGACGTAGATGTTTTACCCTTTTCACGGCAGAAAGACAGCGTGAGACAGATTTTAAAGAATAAAAAAGGACGTTAGTCTTGGTGATACCATTCAATATGTTGTGATACCTTAAGCAAGTCAATATATTGGGACATTTCAAATCAAATGTGATGAAAACTAAGTATAAATAACACACTGTATTCATAGAGTACCTGAGTATGAAATTGTTTTACTTTTATGCAATCCCAACAGTGGCATTATAACAGTCCCTGAAACATCCAGCATTGGCAGCACTTTCTGAGCAATATGAGGCGCTATCTGCCACAAATCAATAGTGTTTTTGAGAATGCAAAACATCTCAAGTTCAAGTGTTTCTACTTTTTGCAGCACTAGGGGAAACGATTGTAATACTGAAACAAACTCCACCTACTATTGTGAGCCAAACTGCACATTGCCAGAGAACACACAACCAATAAGATATGACAATATAAAAGGATGAGCTTTGAGGCTAGTGCCATAATCCTCAAATTCCCAGACAAAAATACTGAGCACAGAGGCCTCACAGAGAAGTCACAAACTAGTTTAAATTCTGGTTTCTGGTTACTTCTCCCCCTTTGTTGCCATTATTGCTTATATAAACATTAAAATGACTTTATTAAACAACAATACCTCACAGCACATAAGGACTTGCAGTGGCCCTTCATTTCTACATGTCTAACATTTGACAACAGCAAGTAACATAAAAGGTGTAGTCAGAACACTGTTACATTACAACAAATTGGGGGACACTATCAGGATAAACATTTCACTAAAAACCCAAAAAGAGCATATACTGTAGTGTTTGTTGTAAAGGATCAGATGTTATCTCTTCTCTGTAAGCTGTACTGTTCTGTAGGATAATACTTTAAGTGTGAATCTATACGCCTACTGCCTGAATCTGCTTTATGGTTTTCACTTTCTTTGCTTCATTTGTTCTGTTTTTAATGCAGAAGGTGAACCTATATGTTCATAAAATAGTGTGTGTGAAATTAACTGTGTGTATTAAACTAAAACTGAGCATTTTCTGTCAGCTCAGATTTTATTTCTGCTTTTTTAAACTGTAGTATGTGCTCATGTGTTTCAGTGTTGGTGTATAGGCTGCTGTCTGAATATGCTGAGTGACAGGCAGGTTTTCCTGACTACAGACTAATCGATGATTTTCTCCATGCGGTATATAAATGGCAGTATCGGAGACAGTGAAGTATTGCAAGTTTGTTTATGTCAAAAAGTAAAGCTTGTGATGGCGCTGTACCTTCTTCATTCATGCTCCAGGTGCCATACTCCGGGTCTGATGTATAGCCACAGGTGCCCAGCTCAAAGTTGCAGGAGCCGGGCAGAAGCTGCTGCTGGGCTCCGAGGAGCCGGACCACCAGCAGCACCGTGAGGAGGGGGCAGAGCGTCCAGGCTGCTGACGTCATCTCTCAGGAGGTCCTTACACCTTATGGTTGCTTATCCTAAAACATCAAAGACTAAAGTTAGAAGATTTCTGGTTCAACTTTCTGACTGTTTCCCCAAGGTAATCATTGGTGTTCAGTACCTTTTAAGTACATTTACTCACTGTAATTAAGTACAATTTTGAAGTACTTCCATTGTTATGTTACTTTGTAGCTACTTCTACTTCACTCAAATTCATAGGTAAATCGTGTACTTTTACTAGCTTTTTTTGCTTTAGTTGCTTTACAGATTTGGATTAATGATGTGAAATATAATCAACTCTTAAATCAGACTTTAGTTACACCTGGAGTAAATTCACAAGCTACCCTGCAGTATACAAAGTCATTCAAACTAGCTGCACCTTTACCAGCTTTGAGAACACTTTAATGATCAATCATTATAAAACATATCATATTATTCTGAAATGGACCAATCTGCACAATGACTACTTTTGGTAGCCTACTTTAAGTAGCCTATATTTTAATACTGATACTTTTATACTTTTACTTGAGTAACATTTTTAATGCAGGACTTTTACTTGTAACAGATTCCTACATTCTGGTACTTCTACATTTACTAAAGTACCACCTCTGACTACAATAAATCGGATTTACCGTGCAGAGTGAGGCTCGCGCTGCTCATCCTTTCCGCGGTGTAGCGTGAAATGTATTTCCGGTGGTCGCCCGTTAAGTCCACAAGAAAACTTCACGGCGAAAAACTCGTCCAAACTCTCAGGGTTGTTTTTCACATGTTGTAACAAAGTCAGCAGGAGAGATGGATGAATGGTGGAGGAGGGGGAAGGGGGAGGAGGGGGACGAGCAGTGCTGCTCTCCGCCTACTGATGATGAGCCGGCAGCAGGGCCGGCCCGGAGCCCGCTGCTGCAGGGCCGCATCCAGCCCGCTAATGGGGGGACCGGGTGCCCGCTTTGTGCAGGACTGTTTTAAATAAACCAACATTTAATTGTTTCTTTCATGAAAAATGTGTATTCCTCCCGAAGAGTAGTCTTTTCCTGTTATATTACTTGAAACATGCAACCAACAAAAGTCAAAACCCTCTAAGATAATAATCATGTTGGGTGTGCTTACAGATAATAGGTGTAAATGACGGCCAAAATATGTAATGTTTCTTTCAAAGCAATGAGGCGCAGGTTTTCTGTTTTTTGCATAAAGCAGACTTCCCCACACTATACTGTACATGTTGCAAAAGTAACTAAGTACATTTACTCAAATACCTTACTGTACTGTACAATTGTGTGCTTTACTGTACTTGAGCATTTACATTTAGTGCTACTTTATAGTTACAGTAAACTCCACTCTTTGAAAGCAAATATTGTACTTTTTTCTCCACAATTTATTAGACAACATTAGTGACTGCACAGAAGAGGGCTATCACCATTAGCTGTGTCAGATAAGATAAGCTTTACTTTATTGATCCCAATTTGGGAAATGTTTTCGTCACAGCAGCATGTTAAAACAAGTCATTGCACATCATTAGAACAATCAAAAGTGTGAAAAATAAACAAACATAAAATAGAAACATCTCAAAATAGAAAATAAAACAGAACTAAAAAGTAAAATACAAGTTGACCATGAAAGACAATTATCTGCAGACTATCTGTCAAATAAACACTATGAAGCTAACACAATTTAAAAGTAGGATATGACAGGAAGGATAGATGTCAATCAATCAACAAAGGAAGGAATTGACTAGATGTAGCCGGGGGAGGGCGATTCTCAGAGAGTTTTTGTGAGATTTGCCAGAATTTATTTTCAATCGCGCATGAAGGTGATGACGATTTGAAGCGTCATTAGTTACATGAGAAACGTATAAGAAATTCCAGGCTCATGAAGAAAATATTGATCTATAGATACAATCCTTGTGAAACCAAAAGGGGATAACCGAAGAGACAATAACTGCGGCTGAAATAAAGAAAGTTAACCCCACTAACCTGCAGTCATACAGGTCAGCAGACTGGTAGTAAGCGGTGGCCATTTTTCCAGATTCAGAGATTGCAAAAAAATACGGAAATGTTTACGGATGATTGTTTGTTTGAAGAAATTCAATTCAAACTAAATATATTTCATTCCCTCACTTGCATCGTTTGTGCAGACACATTACCCACAGCAAAGCATCGTTATTCATATTTATAGGATAACCGTTTCAATAGACATTTTTATTTTTAAAGGTTAGATGGACATTATATTTAAATGTATCATTGCAGTCCGACTTGTGGCTTGTTGCATGGTCACCTTACCCTGCTACTATCAACATTTTTTGAAGCTCAAATAAGACTCACATAAGTCTAACCAAAGTCTGAATAGTCTGCAGATCCATTCATTTATTTGTAGCTTTATTTGTCGGTAGTGACTCCTAATGACAGTCTTGCATGCAGGGTTGGGATGGTTTTTGGAGAAATGTATTATCGATAAATGTAACTGTTTGAACAAGTGGTAAGTAACCTAATCGGTATGACAGCAGTGCAGAAGCCAAACCTGATCCGCAACTTCAGGTTGCGCATGAGCCTTAGAGTTGTATAAATCATCATAAAACCGGCGAAACATGTCATTGATATGCCTATGAGAGGTCAAGGGAGTGCCTTCCTCTGATTTTACCCTGTGAATGGCCCTGTCGCTTTCCCTCTTCCGCAGCTGTCTCGCTAGCAGTTTATGTGGTTTATCCCCAAACTCAAAATATGTCTGACTAGTAAAAATAAAGGCTTTAGAAATGTTCTCAGAAAGTATTTGATTGAGCTCATATTTAAGAGAAGAGATTTTACTGTGCAACTCAGTAGATGGTAGGGTGGCGTTTTCTGTATCCAGTTTTTGAATTTGTTCCTCTAATTGTGATTGTTTAATGCGGTCCCGTTTTCTTTGAGATGCCTGGAAAGAGATAACACACCCTCTTATATACGCTTTAAAAGTCTCCCATAACAATGTTGGTGAAACATCATCTTTATCATTTGCTTCGAAAAAAACCTCTATATGCGTCTTAATGTATTCACAAAATGGTTTCTTTGTTAATAGTTGGGGGTCGAACCTCCAGGATCTAGCCGTCCTTGACGCCTCGAGCAGTCTCAGTGACATAGATACAGGACAGTGGTCAGATATGATAATATTGTGATATTTCGCATCATTAACCCCAGACAAAGGTTTACCATCGAGTAGGAAATAATCTATTCTGGTGTATACGTTGTGAACTCGAGAGTGAAAGGAATATTCTCCACCTGTTGCATTTAAGGTTCTCCACACATCAAATAAGTTTGTATTGTTGATAAATGACTTCAAGAAATTAGAAGCATTAGATGATGCTATTCTCTTAGTCGATGATCTGTCTAAGTAAGTATCTATGACCAGGTTAAAATCGCCTCCAATAATAAGATTTGTTGTAGAGATGTCGGGGATCATGCTGAAGATCTTTCTGAAAAATTCTGGATCGTCCCTGTTTGGACCATATATGTTCAGTAATGTAATTGGTATAGTTTGTATTTCACCTGTGACCAGGATATATCTCCCCTCTTTGTCTGCAATTGTGGATTTGTGTAAAAATGGGAAATTTTTGCGAATGATTACACCTCTAGCCTTTGCCAAACACGTAGAATGATAAACCTGATTTATCCATCTAGCCTTAATTTTATTGTGTGCTTTGTTATTTAAATGTGTCTCTTGTAAAAAACTGATGTCTGCATGAAGCTCCCTTAGATGGGACAGTACTTTACCCCGTTTTACTGGTTCATTGATCCCGTTCACATTCCATGTGCAAAAAGTGAAATCCTCTCCTTTACCTGTATCACCACTTATTTTATCTGTTGTCACAGCCATAAGGCATAAAAGGGTCTCTTAGATTGTGTCTTTTGATGTAACCTCCACATCTCCCTCCAGTGATATAACCGCAGTGGCACTGCTCCCCACCCCAACCCAGCCTCAAATCTGCCCCCGTAAAAAAGAAAGTAAATAAACAGGAAGTAAAACAAGAAAAAAAAGTGAAAATACAAACCAAAACAGAAACATACATACTCTGCACGACCACAGTTGAACTCTAAGGAGTGGGGCCGACCCTCCTCCCCAGACGTCCAAGTTCTCCTGCAGCTACATGAATACACGCAATTGAGACAGAAAGTGTGACACACATGATAAGCAGCGTGAAATGTTATACCCAGAGATGGAAGAAGGACTCAGATCTTGTACTTAAGTAAAAGCAGAAATACTAGTGTCAAAATACTCTGTTAGTGAAAGTCCTGCATTCAAAATCCTACTTGAGTAAAAGTACAAAAGTATTAGCATCAAAATATACTCAAAGTAACAAAAGTAAAAGTACTTGTTGTGCGTTAAGTCCAATTTTACAATCATATATATTATTTATCTGGATTATAATGAATCAAGCATTAATGTGTTCATCACTGCTGGTAAAGGTTGAGCTAATTTGAATTACTTTGTATACTGCTGCAGGTGTCAGCTTTTCAATGGTCACCTGTGATGTAGCTGACTTCACTGGATAAATATCCATCCATTTTGAGTGAGCATCCACTATCAGTAGAAACATCTCTCCCAGGAAGGGGCCTGCATAGTCCACATGAATTCTCGTCCAGGGAGACTCCGGCCACTCCCAGGGATGTAATGGTGCTGATAGTGGTGACTTGTGGTGCTTTTGGCACTCCTCACAAGACTGCACTTCCTTTTCTACATCCTGGTCCATCCCCGGCCACCATACATAAGATCTAGCCAGACCTTTCATCTTTGACATGCCGGAATGTGTTTGGTGCAGTACTTTCAATATCTTTTCCCTGCCTTTGTTTGGTACGATGACTCTGGCTCCCCATAGCACGCAGCCATCCCTCACACTCAGTTCTTCTCTCCTCTGATGATACGGCTTGAGAGGAGCCTCAGTCAGTGAAGGCCATCCCGACAGGACATAACCATGAACTTGAGACAATATTACATCCTTAGCTGTCCAGTGTTTTATTTTGGCTGTGTCCACGAGTGTGTCATCCAGAAGATCAATCATGAGCACTTGTTCTGCGGTCTCACTCTCTCGCACATCTTCCGACATCGGCAGTCTGCTTAATGCGTCCGCATTAGCGTTGTTCTTTCCTGGTTTGTACACAATGTGATACTCATAGGCACTCAGGTGCACTGCCCATCTCTGAACTCTAGGGGAACCCATCTGTGGAACGGGTTTCTTTTCGTTGAAGAGAGAGATTAGTGGCTTGTGATCTGTATAGATGGTGAAAGTTTGACCATACAAGTACTTGTGGAATTTCTTGATTCCAAATATAACTGCTAAGCCTTCTTTGTCTAGCTGTGAGTAATTATTTTCAGCAGGCGCTAGGGTACGCGACATGAACCCCAAAGGACGTTCAGTTCCATCGTCCATTACGTGTGATAAAACAGCGCCCACCCCGTAAGGTGACGCATCACATGACATAATTAACTCTCGGTCAGCAGAGTAATGCACCAACACTTCTGCTGAGTTTAACAGGGCCTTTGATTTTTTAAAAGCCTCTTCCTGTTTCTTTTGCCATGTCCATCGCACATCTTGTCGCAGGAGCTCATGCAGTGGTGCCAATAGTGTAGCTAAGTTTGGCAGAAATTTGTTATAGTAATTTAGCAAACCTAAGTACGACTTGAGTTCAGTAACATTTGTGGGGTTGGGAGCCTCCATGATGGCTTTGACTTTCTTTTCCACAGGGTGAAGTCCCTGTGCGTCCACTCGATGTCCCAGATATTCCACTTCCTCTTCCAGGAAAGTGCACTTGCTCCTTCTCAGACGCAATCCTGCCTCCTCCAGCTTTGCCAACACTGTCTCGAGGTTCTGCAGATGGTCTTCCTCATCCACACCGCTCACCAGGATGTCATCTAAATACACTGCCACAAAAGGAATGCCTCGCAGGAGACCTTCCATTGTCCTCTGAAATATAGCTGGGGCTGATGCTACTCCAAAAGGCAGTCTGTTGTATGTGAATAAGCCTCTGTGCGTATTCACTGTTAAGTATTTCTTTGATTCATCATCCATGAGTATTTGCTGGTATGCATGACTCATGTCCAACTTTGTGAACTGTTTTCCTCCTGTCAGTGCTGCAAACAGGTCTTCCATTCGGGGTATGGGGTATTGTTCAAGTGAGGAAACTGTATTTACAGTGAGCTTGTAGTCTCCACATAGCCTTACTGTCCCAACAGGCTTCAGTATTGGAACCACTGGTGCTGCCCATTCTGCATGTTTAACAGGTGAGATTACTCCTTCTTTCAACAATCTGTCTATTTCTTCATCTACTTTGGTGCGCATGGCGTACGGGACAGACCTCGGACGGAAGAAACGAGGGACTGCATCAGCCTTTACATGGATGGTAGCTTTCATACCTTTCAGTGTGCCAAGCTCCTCTTTGAAGACATTTTCATGTTTGCTCAGTACTTGCTGCAGCGATTTGTCCTCTGTCTTCAGGTGTTTCAGGACTCGGGATTTGTGTCTGAGCTTGATTTCTTTCCAACTCAGATGTATTTCCTCCAGCCAGCCTCTTCCCAGCAGGCTGGGGCCGTCCCCTTTAACCACAATGAGGGGCAGGTACCGCCTTTGATGTTTGTATTTCACTTTAACAAGGGCAGCTCCGACCACATTAACAGGGTCACCTGTATAAGACTCGATGTGGATTTTGGTTGGTCTCAAACATGGACTTTTTGTGTCTTTCCATAGTCTTTGAAATGTCTGTTCATTCATTATTGTGAGACTACAGCCAGTGTCTATCTCAAAGTTAACAAACTTACTATCCAGCTTCACTTCAACCATGTATGGGTCTACTCGTCTCAGGTGCACTTCACTAATGCGTCCCAATCTGAACCTCATCTTATTCAGTAAGAATGTATCTTCTTCTGAGCTATCACTTTGGCTCCGTTGCTCTTGTACTTTATGAGAACGGTGATATGTGGTTTGCCTCCTTTCTCTCTTTGGGTCTGCATTTTTGTTGCCGTTTCCATTCTGTGTAGATCTACTACGACAAGCTCTGGCAATGTGTCCTATTTTACCACATGCATGACATGTCTCTGGTTTAAACTTACAGTCTGCTGCTTCATGCTGGGTTCCCTTGCATCTGTAACACTCTTTGGTAGGTTCTCTGTGTGCATAAGCCTCCTGTGGCTTTTTATCAATTTTGAAACATTTAGCTGTGGCCCCTTGGCTTTGTATCTCCTGTGCATTTTTATTTGCAGTCTCTGACGCCACAGCAATTGACAATGCTTTTTCAAATGTTAAATCCGCTTCTGATAAGAGTCGTCTCTGAATCCGATCTTCATTTATTCCACAGACAATCCTGTCTCTCAACCTCTGCTGCAAAGTGTTACCATAGTTGCAATCCTGCGCTAACCGACGCAGCTCAGCCACGTATTCCATTACTGACTCATTGGGCTCACGGTTGCGGGAGTCAAACTTGTACCTTTGCACAATTTCACTAGGCTTTGGGTCAAAGTGATTTTTTAGCAGCTCCACAAGTTGTGTGTAAGTCTTATCCTTGGGCTTATCCGGACTGAGGAGGTTTTTCATAAGGCTGTATGTTGATGATCCCACAACACTTATTAATATGGCTCTTTGTCTGTCTCCATTTTCAATTTCATTAGCCTCAAAAAACTGTTCCAATACCTCACAGTATTCTTCCCACTTCTGATTTTTTGCATCAAAAGGTGCCAGCGTGCCAATCATTGCCATTGTGTGTCAATGAATCCTCTCCTCCACCCGCAGACTTTGCTAATAATTTGAGCTAGCTGCCGCTAACGACCCAAACCTGCATGTAAGGTGCTAACCAGTCCGTTCGGCATGTCCTCTTTGATCCCGTATTGATCCTTGTCTTAATCCTCTTCTTAATCCTCGTCGCCAATAATATGTTGTATCTTGTGATCAATAATTGTATGTCCACAACATAGGAGTAGATTTAACTGGTTTTACTTTGGTAACATGCTTCCGGGACTTCCTCGTGGGAACATGTACAACAGGCTCTTTTAATACCAAGAGTGAGTTTGCCCCCTGCTGGACAAATGCAATAACATGTAATAATAACACAAGGTAAGATACCACAAGTATAAAGTAGCATAAGATGGAAATACTCAAGTAATAATAATAATAATACATTTGATTTGTAAAGCGCCTTTCATTGCTAACAGCAATCCCAAGGTGCTACAGGAGGCATCATAAAAACAAACAACATTTTAATTAAAGGCTTTTTTTTAAAGAAAGGTTTTTAGGCCTTTCTTGAAGGCGTCAGTGGTCTGTGGAGTCCTCAGGTGGTCTGGGAGGCAATTCCACAGGTGAGGAGCAGCTGCACAGAAAGCCCGATCCCCCATTGTGTGGAGTTAGGTCCTCAGGGGGGGGCGAAGCCGATGGGTTGTGGAGCGGAGGTTGCGTAAGTAAAGTACAAGTAAACCAAAATCGTACTTGAGTAATTGTCCTTTAATATATTACAGCACTGGTTATATCACAATCTCCGATACCACAATACATCAGCAGTCTCAAAGCACTGTGTCCATGTGGAGTCATCTGCCCTACATCCCTGCATACTCCCATATTTCCTGTTTCAAAATGAGAGTAATTTTCCCAGGGGATAAAACATCTAATATAAAATATAAGTGGGCCCTGCAGGATGTACCTAGAGCTCAAAAGTCAACCGTTGCTACTGTGGAAAGATATTGCACATCTGGATATGGTTGTATTCCAAAACATCACATCTCAATACATTATCCCACCGGTCTGCTTCTGATTACTGTCCAAAATCTGAGTTGCTTTTTTATCTGCAATGATAATGATGTAACAGAAAAAGTCAAAGACACTGTTAGCACTGCTCTTATATTCTTAAACTCATAGGATCTTAAAGGATCATACCAACATTTATGTGTTTCTTTCATATGAAACATTTGTATTCCTCCCGTAAAATCAACCTCAAGAGTAGTCTTTTCCTGTTATATTATTTTAAGCATGCAACCCACAAAAAGTCAAAACCCCTTAAGATAATAAACGTTAAAAGTTTTACTAACAGAGAAATGTGTACGATGAGATCAGACAGACAGATATTGATCCAAATTTGGCAAATTCTTCTGCCACAGCAGTATGTACAGTAGGTAAGACAATGCACATGAATTAAAATAAAAACAATAACGATGTACATATGAGCAGTAGAAGATAAAACAATGTGCAAAACAGTGAATAAAATCTATAGAGTATATATATTGAATAGTACACAATATAAATATACAATATATAGAATACCAGTGTACATCATGCTTGTCCAGCCTTTCAAACTCACAAAATGTAAACATTGAATATAATACACACTTTACAGTTTACATTTGATTTAGCAGAATAATTACAGTTTTAAGTTCAATTTAAATCCTCAAGGGACCAACTGAAAACAATATATATAATGACGCCAACAAGATGTAATGATTTTTTGTACGTAAGCAATAAGGCTTTTAAATCAAATTCAACAGTGATGCTTTCTAGAAGAACAAAAAGTGTTCTCCTACTTCCTACATTATGTTCATTTGTCAGTGCCCTATGACAAATGCTGACAGTGAGCTCTGAGGATTATTTGTGGTGTATAAAGGGACAGTGTTTACGGAAAGACATGCTGCTTTGAATGTTTCAATGCTGGGAGAAAAACGAGCACCATTTTATTGGAGTTGAGGCTGAAATCTCCCAGACAGATTCCTTTATTAAAACCTGGAAGAAAAAAAAACGATCTGCATGAATACAGAAGTGAAACAATTAGTTTTTTTGTAATCCATCTGAACTGCCTCTTTCTATCTAAGACAACCCATGTCAAAGACCTTTCTGTGGCAGGTTGATGCTTAACACCTCATCCCTGATGGCCAGCAGCTGTTCCCAATGAGCAAGAGTGCTCATTGGGAACAGCAGCAAGGGGCTGGGAATCCTCTTTAAGGAGAGCTTGAGGGACACAGAGGTGAAGCAGGGAATCTACATCAACAACATGGCTGCACTTTGTGGCTTGTCTTTGAGGTAAGTTATGTGTTAAATGTGTTTCCTGTTTTGCATTTGGCTGAACTACAATATACGATAATAATGGATTGTCAGATCAAGTCTGAAATTGTACTTGCATCACAGCAGCTCCATTTGCAGCATCAAAAAAGGACAAATATTAAGGGACTATATAAGGAAAACAAACATTTAACATAACATCACGGTCACTAAAGAGAAACATGCTCATATAGACCAGTGCTTCTCAAAGTGTTGTCCGTGAGCGCCCCCTAGTGGTCCGTGAGTATATTGGTAACATTTCACATTTGAAATAAATAAATAAATAAAAGTTTTCCGCACTCTCGCGGGAATATCTCCGCAATGGAGTGAGCTTAAGTTTCACTTCCGATTGCGTGATATAGCCCAGCGCAACACCTTCATCACACACGTTGCCACTTGTTTGTACCATTTTCAGGCGATTTTTAATCTGTTCTAGAAAAACGATGTGTTTTGGGATATTTGTGGAGTTAGGTGGTCCGCGAGTGTTTTGTTATTGGTTAAGTGGTCCTTGGTATGAAAAAGTTTGAGAAACACTGTCATGGACCCTTTTTCGTACATTAGACCTGGGATTTAGCTCTGTATTTAATGTTCGGATTGACAAAGGAGTGCCTCAGTCTAACTTTATTAAATCATTGGCCCCTGTATCTCTGATTTTGATAGACAAATTCTCTGTTCAGGACATGTTGGGGTCAGAGATGATGTCGTAGGACAGCCTCAATATGTTGTTATAGTAATCTGATTCATAGAGTCTCTCACAGGGTTGACCTACAATCTTTGAGCAGATTTTCACCTGGTACTGTAGAGCAGTTTTGATTTTAAAGCGGTAAACAAACACCTGTACCATGTAGTATCAAACTCACAGATGTAAAGAATAATTTGTCTACTCTCCCTGAGAGACCTAAGGCGGCGAAGAAAATAAATTATTTGTTTCGTCCCTTTGAAGACATTCAATTTGTTCTCTCCATAGCAGATGAGCTATCCTTACACCCAAGTCTTTATATATGAACTGACCACTGATGGTGTTTGCAGGGTGTCCTGGATATCATGCCTGTTGATCAGCAGTATCACTTGTCTTCCTGCATCAAAAGGTAATATAAACAGTCCAAACCATGTCCAGTTGAGTTTCATTTTTGATTAAAACATTATTGACACATCTCCCTCTGCAGGATACGCCTCAAACAGTCCTGATGGCAGCAGTTGGATGTTGGCTTCCGGCTCTAGCTACCCAAGTGCTGGCAGGCAGGAGGGGAGTGGTTCTTACCCGAGCTTTAGGGGTATGTCAGAAACCCCCGCTGCTCAGAATTCCCACAGGAAGCTGGTGTCTCCGGCTGACGTTAGGGGTGGTGGAAATGGCGCTGAGATTCTCTCAGCAGGGGGTCCAATGCTGCTGTTCCCCAAGAGTACAACGCCTCTACTTAGTCTTAGTTTCTCCCTCTCCATAACCATGAACAATTTGCACAAAAGCTACCTTGCACATCATTTATACTGTAAACTATCATATGTATACCGTATGTTTCTGCTACTGTAATATATTGGTCTTTTATAGAACAGTCTAACTTATCTTGAACATTCTATATTGAGTATTCTTTGTGGTTCATGTCCTTTCTACTAAAAATATGTAAATGTTTATCTACCTTTTTTTTAAAAAGTTTTTAATGCCTGAACACACTGCTGCTGTGTGAAACTAAATAATTTCCCAATTTGTTATCAATACAGTATCTATCTACCTCCAGGTGCCTCTGAGCTCCCAGCAGCCCCTGGGAATGATGCCTCTGGCTATGCCAACAGTGGAT